GCACCCAGTGCACAGTGGACGTGTAAGAGGCGCGATGCTGAATTTAGATATTTTGAACCTAAGATGGTCGATTTAATGTGTGTGTGTGTGTGTGTGGGGGGGGGGGCTGATATGAGGATCTGAGCCCTTGACCTTGGTGTTATGACACCACATTCCAACCAACTGAGCTAACTGGCCAGCCCCCATTTACCCTTTTTAATGGCAGGTTACATTTCTGTTGGGTGGATGTCACATGAGTTGTGATTCCTCAGTGAAGGGACATTTAGATTGTTTTCAAGTTTTTGTTTTTAGCAGCTGGCCGGATAGGGGGATCTGAATCCATGACCTTGGGGTTATAAGGCTGCATGTTTTTAAGTCTTAAACTGAACTCTCTTCATAAAGGGACCCTAAAGTTGCTAGCCCTCTCTCTTTGTGACTATAAACTCTGGTTGGTTTCTAAAAGTGATGTCTCTTGTTTCTTAAAGTTGCATAGAAACAAAGTTACCCCCATCTGGGAGCCCAAGGGGCTGTTGGGAGCAGTTGGTGGCCAGACACCAAGGGGACCTTACCGGGAGCTGCAGGGCCAGCTGCTGGGCGATCCTCCACAGCAGGGCATGAGTGGGCTTCTGGGAGCACAGCAGGGCCAGGTGCATGTTCCTGTCCCCTCACAGAAGGTGGCCTTCCACTGGGATGCCGACCCACATGACGCCCTTCAGGATCCAGGCCAAGGGGCAACGCCGCTGTCCAGACAAAGCCATCAGGGAAGGGATGCTGTGTACTCCAGCCATTCCACTCACAAGCTGCAGGGACCCTGGCAATTTGTGGAGCAGCCTCTGTGCCTTGATTTCCTCATCTGTAAAATGGGACCAAGCCCACTTTGCACGTCAGAGGCACTTGCTGGGATGAAATGAGACACCATGCGATACATCTAAGAGGTGCCGATGCCGGTGGGAAAGGACACTGGCCTTCTGTGCAGGACTGCCCGGTCAGTGCCACACATCAGGTCACTGGACAGCAGGCGTACCCATCCTCTCCTTACGCCTCACGAGTTATGACAGCTCCATGGCTCAGAGACTTTCCTTTTCAGGGTTTGCTGCATCAGGGCTGGCGGCTGGCTCAGCTGGGCAGAGCGTGGTGTTGAAACACCAAGGTCACGGGTTCAGATGTCGCATTGCATTTTGGCTTCGCTGTAGCCCCAGAGGTGGATGTGACAGACTGGGGAGACTCTTGTGCTTAAGTTGAGGGGAGGGCTGTGGGTGTCCCTCATGTTAGGACACTGTCACTCACAGGTACAGGACACGCAGGTCCTTTTATACAGACCAAATGCTAAGGTAGAAGGAAGCCACCCACACTCGGCATAATCACCCAGGCACAAAAGGCCACATAGCGTGTGATTCCACTTGCATGAAACGTCCAGAACAGGCGAATCCACAGACATGGAGGGTGGGTTAGTGGGTACTTTAAACGAAATGGGAGTGAGTGTTTAATGAACAGGGTGTCAGTTTGGGAAGATGAGAAAGTTCTGGAGATGATGGTGTGACGGTCACACGACAATGTAGATGTGCTTAATGCTGCTGAACTGTGCGCTGAAACACGGTTAAAATGGTGAAATGTATGTTGTGTGTATTTTAGCACAATAGAAAATTGTTGAAAAAAGACAGTGAAAAAGTAGCTACTGAGAGAGGAAGGCCTTGGGACAGCTGACCCCCTGTGGGTGATTTAAACCGTGTGACAGCTAACCACCACAAGGGATCTCATCTCCTGATAATCATGGTGATTCACTCGGGCTCTCAGTGACATCATGTCCCCTGATTGCTTAATCACTCTGTGAGGTGGGGAGGACACCTCAGAACCTCACTGAGCTTCCTTTTGCAGGTGAGGAAACTGAGGTTTACATGGATGCTGAAGCCGTCACGAACTCCATTTTTGGACACGCCTCTGATAGCAAAAGGGAATGTCTGCCGTTAGAACAACAGCTGTCACCAGCTGCCACCGGACCTCACTTGGAGCCTCAAAGCTCAGGCTCTGAGATTTGGGGAACGCCCCAGCAGGCCACACGGGGTTCAAGGCTGATCAGAGGTGGGGGCTCCTAGCGGCCCATTTACCATCTTTCCCCTCGACCAACTGTAGGCACTGGGCTCCTGCTCCAGGCTCACACTGCAAGCCCCCCCTGCATTCACTGGGGGACGAAATGCTTGGTCCTTTTCCCTCAGAGTGTGGCTGATCCTCCCCGAGGGCTCAAGCAAGCTGGGGACACAGAATCTACGTGGCAGGTGGAACGGACAAGAGAGGAAATGGACAGATGCCTTTGTTTCTCATAAACCACATGAGAATCTGGGAAACGCCTCCTCTAAATTACCGGTTCTGAACTTTGTGTGCACAGAAATCAGTGGCAGGGTGGAGG